AAGTCTTCTTTTGAAGATGAAACATTTAGTATAGAGTGGTAGGAAGAGGATCACCATCATTCCATTTTCTGACGTGCAAGACACTGCTCTGTAAGGTTGCTAATGAATACAAATCGACTTAAATCTGGAGCACTACATTTTATGATAAAGTTGATTGCTTACACCCAGCGTTGGTTGGACCAAACTCATTGCTCATCTGGCATGTTTAGCATATACTGGGCTTAAATGTGGCTTATACCATTTCATCTTGGCTACCTCTCAAACTTAGTTTGGCACAATATATCCTTTGTGCTATTGTAAGAGTTTGAACTGAACATCTCCTATGTTTATCTACTTGTGAGCACTTGATTTTTTTTAGGATTTTAGCCAAACACTTAATCTAAAGACAGCCCAGGAAATTGGCATATTTAACACTATTCATTTGTTACTGTATTCTGTTTATATAACAATTCTAATTTTCACCATTTCCTTTACTAAATTGCAGTGGTCACCAGTTTATCCCAGTGGGTCTGCTGTTGGGCTCTGAGCACAATTAAACCTTTCTGAAGCATGGTGTGTGTATCTGAACTGCCTGATATTCAGTTAGCAAGTCATAAACAAACACCTTTTTATTTTAAACTTGGTGAGGGGGGTGGGAGGCTTGTTGGCTCTTTTTTTAAGACTACAAAACAGAAGAGTGGGGAGTCTTTAGATATTAACTTTTATTTTTTTCCTGTTTCACTACCACCAAAATCTCCATGCATAGCAGCAGCGTAAAGGCGGTTTCTGTGTGCCTTTGTGCATGCCTCTCTTCCTCCTCATCCTAATATCTCTTTTGGTGTTGTGTGCTTCAAATATGTTAGCACTCCAATATTTTTATACTTACTCTACATGAGTTAATGGCAATGTGGGAGGATGGGAGAGGAGAAGAAACCTAAATGTGGTGGTGGAGATATCTGGGGGTATGAATGAAAATTTTAACTTTGGGATCAAGAAAGACAAACAGAACTGCTATGTCCATATTTATAGGCTGAATCCATAAAGGCACTTTCTGAAACATATACCAGAAAGGTCCAAAATGCGGGTTGTGAATCATTGTACTTCTCTCTTTAGGGCTTGAGTCTCCTAGCAGTGTGTAGAGGACTAGCATGCATAGAAGGGAAAGTAGACCTCTACAAAGTTGAAATGCTTATGCTTTATTGAGTAATGCATGTTAGGAGTGTGATGTCTTTTCACCACCTATAGGGGTTTTTCTACACAGCCGGCAAAACATCCCAGAAGGGTGTAATTTGTACAGCACAGTAACGTACTGCTCTAACTGCCCCTGCTGGCATGCTCTAAAAGGTATTTAGAGTGTGTTAATTCAGTCAGTCCTGTTTGAAACAGGACTATATCAATGTGAACCAGATACCATTTAGAGTGTGCCAGCAGGGTCTACACAGCATATTAGAGAGTGCTACAAATCATAGTCCTCTAGTGTGCTTTGCTGGTGCATTGTGTAGACAGGCCTCAAGTACTAGCAGATTTTAAGAATAAGACAAAAATCCAAGAATTCTAAACTGAAAAGCCTACAAGTGTGGATTTAACCTTTAACTGCAGAATTGAAAATTGGAACATAAAACACATTTCCTTGAGTGCAATTTTGCTGTATCCCACTGGTGGAAGAGATTTTCACATGAGGCTAAAACCAACTGTGGGAAGTATGTTTTCATAAAAGCAAATTCAGCTACTGTTTTGTGGATTTCTTCATCATCATAATAAGATAGTCCTATTTTGGTGTATTGTGAGCTATTAAATGCAGATCCTTTGGTGTTGATGTTGCTATTCATAAAGTCTGAAAAGGGATTTCTTGCTTGTTCATGTGCTTCAGGTTTTGTTGGTTACTTAAATTTCTTGGGAATTTACAATTTGGGAGCCATGTATGGACTGAGGAAAATGTACCTCTATGGTGATTGATATTCCGTGGTCTAATCGAGAACAGTAAGGGCCTGTCACCTTTTCCCTGCAGCTTGGGGTGCCTCACAATGCTTTGTTGCTGTAGTTCCCACATGGGTCACTCTCAAACAGCTTGCCAGTATGTAGGTCACGCTCTGAGTGACTGGGGGAATAGCGACAACCCTGGTTCAGCAACTCTGACCCCAGCAGCCTGTCAGGCAGCCCAGTAGCCACACTCTGGGTTCTAGCAGCCTAGGTTACTATTTGCAGGGTGACCCAACACACTCCTAGTCTTCTCCCCCAAAGATGTGTTCTGCGCCGTCCAGCCCTCTCCTACACAGTTCAGATATAGTAGGTCCATCGCTCTTCTAAGGAGATCAGTATACAACAGTTTGCTACCCTAGTTACCCACACAGTTTACAACACTGGATTAGTTTTGATTAAAGAATAAAACAAGTTTGTTTAACTACAAAGAGAGAGGTTTTAAATGAGTATAAACAAGTATAAAGCATTAAAACAGACTAGACTTGGTTCAAGGTGAAATTCTTACCGCATGCTTCCAGCAACAGGACTAACCAAATTTCAGGTCAGGATCTCTCCCGAAGTTAAATGGGCTGGTTTCTTTTGTCGTCGTCTTAAGGAAAGAGTGAGAGCTGGATGGGGAGAGATACCTAGGGTGTTTTTGCCCCTCACTTTATAGTCCAGTCCCTCTTTGAAATGCATTTTCCTGAGCATTACCCTTAGATAAAGTTCATTCTGGCTGTGAGGTTGGAGTCTTATGGTGAAAGACGTTTTCATGCTGTTTGCTAAGATGCAGATCTGTTTGTTCCTGTCCCCCTTCCTTGCCAAAGAATGGCCACTTGATTGGCGATTGCTAATCAACTTTGATGACACCTAGCTAGAGGCGTCAGTTTGTCCTTTGTCTTTGAAAATCTGATTTACCCAGACTTGCGTGGTGAACATATTTCAGACCTAATTTCAGCTTTGTAATTTTACATATGATGTTGCTACACACATTTCACCATGATGTTATTGACCAGGAAGTTATTAGTTTTCAATGATACTTCACAAGGCATATTTTGTACAAAGATTATTACAGTAGTATGTAGGATGTGATTATAGGGGTGCAGTCAGTCATTATGGTGTTCATATGCATAATGGGGATTTAGGTGCACGACTTCCATTTTGGTCAGTGGAAGTTGTATACTAAAACCATGTAAATTATTCCATTACTGTGTAGAGATTTACTATAGCCATGCATATGATCAATACTTATACATAATTGTTAATGCATATTTACATAATATATCACAATTGTATTATCATAAAAATCTATCATTCGTTAAACTGCAGCATAGAGTCTACTATACATAATATTTCTATCTATTGTGCTTTCTTCTTTGGAGGTCCCAGATTTCTTTACCATCACTTCTGGTCATGTGTGGTTTTTAAGTGCAGCTACAGCAAAAAGTTTAAGCATAGATAGCTTTCTTACCATTACTAGTTGCCTTTGGGGCCATTGAAAGAACTCCCATTGACTATCATGGCACCAGCATGTTGTCATGTTGTTGATTGATGGAGATATCAGATCCTCACAATTATGTCTGCTATCCCAGGCTAGAAATGTCCTTTGCAGTATTGGCTGTGCGGAGCAATAAGGTTCAAGGGCCCAAAAGTCTACTAATTCCAGCTTGCTGTTGAAAAAGTCCTGTGCAAACTGACATTATCAGAAAAAACCCAACATTTTAAATCTCATGTCTACCTATGTGGTGGTACTCTTTTCCTCCATTATATGCACAAATAATGAAAACAGTTCCATTATAAAATGTGCCCCCCCCCCCCCAAACTCACATTTCTCAGTAAATAGAACATGAATCATGGGTTGTGAAACCCATATATGTCACAGGACCTTGTACTCTTTGATTGCTCCAGACTTGGTTGAGTTTTTGTATTCCAAACAGACCTTTTATTAAGGCTGGAGCAGTTCCATATGATTTCCAGGGCACCTATGTATTGAATACACAAGATGCTGTGGATCACCCCTGCAACTTTTATGCAAAGTGGAGCAAAGGAGAGGAGGGAGAGTTGGGAGGAGAGGGAGTTGGCTGGCTTTTTCAGTAGTCCATCTTGTGGGCTTCAAGATATCCTGTTTTTGTCATATGACTCAGTCTAATTATTTTGGATTGGTAATCAAAGGTTGAATAAAATGTACTCTATTTACTGTAAGTATATAATGCAGCATGTTTAATTATATATGTAGCATGCTGTCAGTGCTGCTAGAAATTTGATTTGAAAATAAACATGTTCAACTAGTTTGTTTGCAGAGCCAAGAATCTTGATAGTGAATTTAGTGAGGTCACCATTTTACCATATAGTTGGTACACATAACACTGGATGAGTTACTGGTACAAGTAAGGCTTAGAAAGTCAGTCTAATGTGGGCATTAGTACAAAGATAACTGTACCTGTAAGTCACTGCCTGACAGCTTCCAAAAGTTAGTTTCTAATATTGGTTTAAGATCTTGTTATACAACAGAGATGTTTTCTTTGTAACCTGAGAATAGTATTTTACTGCTTTATGTCTGAAAAAATCAGTGTCCCTCTGTGTTTCTGAGTTGTTAGAATTTTTTAAGAGAAAAAAGAATTATGTAGCACAATTCTCTTGATTATTTGTTAGGTTTAGAAGCTTTGCTTCTGAGATGAATGGTATAACAATTTTCAATCTTGGCTTTTTGCTGAGGTCTATAAAGACTTGGATTGATGTTTTATTACTTGAATTATGGTAAGATTTTTCTTGTCTATAACTGGAAAAAGATTTATCCAGCTTTCCTTCAATTGCTTGAGTAAATCTGAGTTGCAGTGATACAGATTGGTCTGTACCCAGTGGAGGATGTGTTTAGAATGTGAATAATTAGGTGTGTTGACTGTTTGTATCAGTTAGCAGGTAACACTAGTAACATGAAAGGAGCCATGTACTAATTAAAATTACAAACGTCCAAAACAGTAATATAAACAGACATAGAGGAAATGCGAAATAACTACATTTTCACTGTAAAACCAATAATGCTTTTTTCTTCTGTTCTTTAGGTTCTTGATTGTTACAGACCATTTGCTGAAATGTCCAGAGCTGGTAAAAGTCATGTATGCCAAACTGAGCAATCAAGAAAGGTAACCCCAAAAACCAATGTGGCTTTTAGTATTTAGCATTCCATATACAGTATCCTGTTCACATGATTGAAAAACTGTGTGGTTTCGTAGCTGGCACATCATCTCTAAATACATGTTTCTATGTCAGTAATGGTTTTAAATTGGTTGGTTAACATTACAGCTTAGCCACAACTGGCAGTGATTTATGTAGGGTTGCAGAATCCAGGTTGGCGCCATTACTCAATAAAGAAATACAAAAAAAAAAATTAAAGGCAAGATTTCATGCTTGTGCCTTGATTTCATAAGAGCACCGCACCCTGCTACATTTTAGAGCTGCATTTGAAATATCCTCAGCTGTTTGTATCACAGTTGTGATAACTAGAAATTAAAAGGAAGTCTGATAGAATGGATTTACTGTAGTTGGTGTGCTTCAGTCTGTTCAGTTGAAAATTATAGACATGTATTTGCTTATGATTACTTAGTGTTTTTTTTTAAGATCTTCATTGCACATTTGAAAACTTGAGTCTAGAAAAAACAAAATAAGCATATTCATCTGTAAAGACTCTGGTTTTTACAAGGGGGAAAGTGTAAAATTTACTTAAGGTTAGAATTATTAACTCTTGAGAATCTTGCAATATAAGCAGGGGGGAGGTGGTTTAGATAGGAGAGAGCTTGAGCTTCTCATAGTCCTGTGCACTTTATATTGCATATTTTTACCCTTATTAAAAGTTGCCACTATCCTTCCCATTACCATCAGTGGGACAGAAGCCACAAGATTGCATGAATTAGGTTGACTACCATCTCCTATCGCTTTTGTAGGTGCAAGATGCTGTAGAGGTGGTCACCCATCTCTTCATTGTTTTCTATGGGACTATTGTCAGGCTGCCCTCAGAGAAGATGGCAGCTCCCTGGGCAGTATGACTTAAAAACTGGACAGAGAACTATGAAAAGGCAGGGAGAGTGGGAGAATGGAATGGGTTGAGAACTATAGGGGAAAGAGCAAAAATATAGGGGTAGGTTTAGGACAGAAGACTGTAAGGAGGGCAGGAGACTAGGTGGAGCAGGGAGGGTGCCTGGCAGAGGATGGGCTGACAGAATGGGGAAGAATAACAGCTTATCTCCTACCGCCCCCAGAACCAGGGAGTCCCTACTCAGACAATCAGTCGGAAGGGAAAAGTGGCTATTTTAAACCTCAAGCATTTTTGAGGGGTGTAACTAGTGATTTTTTGTGCGATTATTTGGTACTGAGTTAGATTGTTAATTTTTAATTGTAGCAGTGGAAAAGTTTGCTTGATTCGTCAGTTCTTGGAAAGGTGTCGGACTGCCAGATTCCATCTGTAGCATGTGACTTGTCATAGTAAGGTGCTATGCTGCTACAGCTGGTCGACCTACTGAACAAACATTTTCAATGCACTTATTACACCTATTATGAATCACAAGAATTCTGCAAATCAGCAATCAAAGTTAACAAACTAAAAAAAGGAAAATTAATCAAAATGTGCAGATAGTTCATCTGAAAATGGTTAGTTTAGTTTTAATTTAAGAGTTATATATAATGTACTAGTAAATGTGCTGCAAAATATTTTGTAAGATCTTTAATATTACTAAGATCTCAGAACTCTGCTATTGAATCTTATGCCTATAATTCCCTTTGTCATATTTCAGAGTGTATTCTGTCTCACATGACCAATGAGAGAAAAAGTCCAGTGCATGTAAAAATGTCCTGACTGCCCTTAGCTGGACAGAAAAGAGGCATTGTAAACCAGAGCATGGGGCATTATTGTCTCATTCTGAGACAAGTCAGAGAAACTTCACTACAAGGGTGCCACCTTGGGTGTCCGTTAAAGCTGACTTTATGGATGAGGACAGAAGGGGATGCAATATTGAGGTGTCTGGGATGACAATTTAAGCTTACAAATACATACAAACTCTCTCTGTTACCTGTATATGCTGTATATTTCACATTAAATATACTTATTTCAAATCTGTTTACAGGAAATTAACTATGTTGATAGCATTTGTTGGTACACAAATTAGTGGTGGCCCTTAAAAACTTGCCAGTTGCCTTAGAGAACTAAAGTTTATGCAATTGGAGAACTGCAGTATTTGCACTAGTCAAGGTATTTTCTGTAATCAGGGCCCAATGCACTTGTGATGCTGAGGCACTTGCCAAAGAGTTGCCCTGCTTGCTGTGGAAATGAGCCCCAGAATCTAAAGTTTCAATTAAAAAACACATACATTTCTGCCCTTTATAGCTATGAAGAAAAATATTCAAATGTTAATTGAATGTACCCAATATGGTGACGCGTGCCTAAGTCTGCAGATAGCCTGCAACAGTAGCTCTGAGTGGTCTGAACAGCCCATCTATCTCAGTGATGTTCTAGCTCTGAAAACTAATGATTACACTTAAATGTTTGTGTTAACAGAGTTATTTCTCTGTTGATAATTGTTGCAGAAACATCCAACCAGAATAATATGGTGAAAGATTTTCTTTAAGAGCCAGTTGAAATGTGCCAAATTCCAGAGACTTCCTCAGCTATTCCGCAATATTTTGCAGAAATTTTAATAGAAAAGTTTCTTTAAAACAAATCTGTGTAGAACATGCACAACACTAATTAGTTCTCTAAACTAATTGCATGTTAGAATTTTTTAAACTAAAGTGTACAAATTTACCATTTGTTTTTTTTTAAGGGAAAATCCTCTCCTTCATATCGAATCTTTTTATTCCCGTAGAGATCTTCCAGTTGCCCTTAATCTTTTTTTATTCCCTTCACTCTTAAATTAAGAACAAACAAACAAACAAAAAACCCCAATCAACCACCCAACCTTCAGGTGTTTGATAGAACTTTCAATTATTTGCATCTTGCTGTTTTGGTTTTATTTGAAAGGACGCAGAAGCACATCACAGTGAATGGTGCAAACCTTAGTAAAATTTTCAGCAGTAAAACAGTTCCCAAACAGTTTCTATTTTGAAAAGTTAATTAGTATAAATGGCATCATTATTCAGCATACATACTACTTTGCTGTATTCAGAGTCCTATCTGCTTACTGGTAGTAATAAAAATAGTGGTTTTTTTTTATTATTACTTTTTACTCTGATTAGTACTGCAGAGCCAACATTTCTAAAGGATAGTCAGCTGGATTATATTCCTTCACGTCTTTAGTAAATTCTGATGAGTTGCACTTGTACCAGCCCCTTTAAGGTGTAATTTGAAGACATCACTGTTAGGCCCTCAGTTACACTTTCCCCAACTTACCTTGCAGAACCTTTAGTACTGAAGATGCACGAGAAGGAAAGATCTGAGGTTAAATTCACAGGGCTGGCAGTTAACAACCTCTTTTTAGGTCATCTTTTCTTATCTGTTATCTTCTGGTCTTCAAACAACCCCCCAACCTCACCAAGCTCATCATCAGAAGCAAGCTCCCCACAAACAAAGACACACCAACTTAAAGCAGCACCAGCCCCTTCCATAATAGATGCAAAACTTGCAGACATATCTCCACTGCTACAATGATTAATATTCCCCACAACACACTTTTCAAGATCTCTGGGTCCTACACATGCTTGTTACAACATGTGGTGTACCTCATCTATGCAACTAAGAACTATGTGGATGAAACAAGACAATCACTACACACTCGAATGAATTCACACAAAAACACTTTATCACCTATGGACCAATACTTTTCACAAAACAATCACTTAGTATCTGACCTCTTAGTCCTTGCCATCAAAGGAAACCTCCACAATACTTTCAAAATATGTGACTGGGAACTTAAATTCATATCTTTGTTAGATACTAAAAATCATGGACTCAATAAAGACACTAGGTTTATGGCCCACTGACCATTCTTTGTCCTATGACTGCAGAAGTGTTAACTGCCCATTTCACCTTGAATTATTTCTGGCAATGTGTGTTAACTCCTTATGCTTAATCTGTTCCACCCTTGTATTTAGCTGTGATGCTTTGAATACTTTTCCCAGACCTGAAGAACAGCTCTGTGTAAACTTGAAAGCTTCTTTTACCAGCAGAATTTGATCCAATAAAAGATATTACCTCACCCACGTTGGCTCACCTTCTCTCGATATTTTCTATATCAAATATGCTCAGTTTACTTTCATAGAACTCTACAATGCTATTTTTTCAGAATGTCTTTCAGAGTAGAATTGACATCCATTTGAAAAAATGACCAGATTTTAGACTGAGGAGGTTACTGAGTTTAATACCCTCAAGCATATGCATGTCTAAGGAGTCAAGTTATTCATAGATTTTTATAGACAGAGGGAACTATTACGATCTGACCACCTGCATAACACATACTATTGAATGTTCACCCAGAATAGAACCTAGTAATAGCTATGTTTCAGATTTAACACTGGTGGTTGCTCTCACTTTCAATGCTATCATTCATTTACAAACTCTAGAAAGCAGCACTGTGTTACATTGATTGTTGTGAACTCTTTATGGTAGTGGTTGCATGATGTCCTTGCCAGTAAGGTGAAATCAGGAAGAACTAGGTTCAATTTGTATTGGAAAAAGTTCAAATTATGTTCATGGCATAGAAACAGAAGTTAGATAAAAAACATAAAGTACTCTTTCTGGAAGGTTACAATGATAATGTGTACTAATCACAACAATCAAGAGTCAAAGCAAGCTGCTCCATGAGACAAAGGCACAGTCACTCCACCCTGTGTTAGGTTGGCCTTTTCCAGAATGACTCTGATTGCACACTTCTACACACAATCCCCTGGCCTTCAAGCAAGATCAGGAACCACTCTCTGTGCTCCACCCTGTTCTTAAATGGATAGCTTACAATTCCAACACAGTCCTCAATATATCACAGCTAGGGTGACCAGATAGCAACTGTGAAAAAATGGAATGGTGTAGAGGGTAATAGGCGCCTATATAAGAAAAAGTCCCAAAAAAGACCCTTTGAAAATGGGACATCTGGTCACCCTTATCACAGCTGAGAAAAGAGCCACAAGAATAATTCCAGGTCTGGAAAACCTGCCTTGCAGTGAGAGACTTAAGAAGCTCAGTCTATTTAGCTTATCTAAGAGAAGTTCAGAAGTGTCACTTGATTACTCTCCTAAGTACCTACATGAGAAGACTTCTAATAGTAGACATTGCCTTAAAGACATCATAAACTCCAGTGGTTAGAAGTTGAAGGTAGACAAATTCAAACTGGATATAAGTTGTATGTTTTGAACGGTGAAGGTAATTAACCACTGGAACAATTTAACAAGTTATGTGGTGGATTATCCATTACTCAAAATCTCTTTAAGTTCAGGTTGGTTGTCTTTCTAAAAGCTATGTTCAAATTCAACCCAAGTTTATGGACTTGAAGCAAAAATTACTTGGTGAAATTCTACAGTATGGATTATGCAGGTGGTCAGATAGTAATAGTTCCCTCTGTCCATAAAATCTGTGAATGACTTGACTCCTTAGACATGCATATGCTTGAGGGGCATTAACCCAGCTAAACTCAGTCTAAAATTTGGTCATTTTTTTCAATGGGTGATGGTAAAATGCTTTTAGCATGGTTGCCCCAGAAAATGGAAATTGACCAATTATTCACACACATTTGGGGACATTGGGCAAATGACTTCTGGTAGTTTGTGGATGGGGAAGTGTGGTGGGAATGTGTTCCCCTACCTTATCCTTAAATGGTACACCTATCCTGTGATGGGGCCTCATCAGATTTATAGTGAAATCTATGAAGTGATCCATATCTGACAACCTCCTACCTTGTGACCACCCCATCTTATCCCCAATGTATTGAGTACAGTTCCCTACCACATTCAGTCCCTTGAATGGTTGCTTAAAACAGGCTTCATTGTATTAGTGAGATTTTGAGATTAACTCAGGAAGAACTGCCTGCCTTTTACCTTGGTCAGTTGTTTTTTCAGGGTTAATAGAGTTGTGACCATTCTTTTCCACAGGGAAAAAAAAATCTCTTTTCCCCCTCATTGTGACAACTCACTTGGCAAATTAAACTGTGTGGAGTAGTTCAAATGCAAATTTAATTTTGATTTTAAATGTCAGTCCTCACATCTGAATTGCAAATATTTTAGTCAAAGGAAACTCTGAGCTTGCCCTTGAATGTGCTCAATAAAGAAAACTCTTTCAAGATGAGAGAATGACAGTAGAACCTTGCTAATCCACACTCTCTTCTCAGCAGAGGTTTAATCAGGAGTGCTGCAGTGAGGTGTCATATTATGAACACTTGTTTATTCCTTTTTGCGTGTAAAGTTTGCTTTGTGAATTGATATATCAGAAATAAAACTAAACTATAATTATCAGAGTAAATGACCAAAGTACATTTTGCAATAAACAGTCTTCTTATTGTTCCCTTACGTGCCAGTTCAGATAATTCCACAATTTTCAATGGGAGTTTTAATGATTAATGTGGACTGGAGAGTTTCTACAATCTATCTCGTGGCAATTATATTACAGTTATATAGACAAAGATATATTTTTTCATTGATTTATTGAGCCCCCTCCCCCCTCAACACACACGCTTATTTGTAGTTTTCCATCAGGAAGGAGGGAATTAGTAGAAGATTATATACACAAAATAAAGTGTAAATGAAGGGGCAGGCACACTTAAAGGGATGCTGTCAAGTAGTTTAGGTTGTGTATATGTGTGTATTCTGTTAAAAGTAACTTTAAAGGGAGATTTTAATATTCTTCTCTTCACCCTCCCTACTCATTATGTAGCATTGTCAGGCACAAAAGTAGAAAATGAACAGGCTATTTTAAAAAAAGTCAATTTGACTAGACCTTTCTGGCTAGGCTTCTCAGTTGAACGGTGTGCAAAAATTATTCAGAACGTGTGGTGAAAGTTAATTGCTGTCTAAAGCTCCTTTGCATTTTGAAAACCAGACATCATGATAGTACCACAGGTGAATTTTTTTAATAGACACAGTTTTTAACTACGTTCATTTAATCTATTGTTAGCCTTGGCTTTGTAAATTTAGTTAACAAGTTTACCTACTCATTTATTCATTTTAATTTCAGGATTACTTTGTTAGAACTGATAATGGCCAAAATAAGTGAGAAAAATTCAGTGACCAGTGAGGAAATGGCAGTGCTCTTGAAAGATGCTGAATTTCTTGCAAGCCTTTTCCAGGAGAAATGTCATGATGTGCTCAAATTAACTTCTGCTGCAAATACGGAAGATGAGGTAAGACTTCAGGAACACTATGTTAGAATCTGAAGTTGCTAACGTGGGTTGGTTCATGTACATAAAATCACAATGATCTCTTGCCTATAGACTCAAACTTCCTTTGGATAGTAAAGCAGCTGAAGAGATCACAGGAATCTCTTGAAGCTTTTCGGTTTTCTTAAAATCTCAATTTGTTGCTGTACAGTGAGCGTTGCCTCTACCAAGAAATGGGGTGGAATTCCTTAGAAGACTTTTCACTCCTACATGATGTTGACTAAGAATTCGGTGCTTGCAGAGGATAGCTCTGTACTTGACATCACAGGAGGTGGTGGTGGAAAACTTAGTTATTTTCGGTCATTTTTTGTTTGAGTTGGATGTCTTGACTTATTCTAGTTTTACCAAGGGCTATTCCTATTTATTTAATTTTTTAATTGTGAATTTTATTTTAGTCAAATAGTCTTACTTCTATAGGGACCTTGGAAGCCAAGTTAAATTTGCTGAACAAAAATAGCATTTCTGACTAGTTTTTCATTGGTTTGAAACAAAAATAGATGGAGCTGTAACCTTATCCTGTTTTTTGACAAAAATGGCTCAACTAGATAACAAATTACATATATTTAAGATATGTAAAGTATCAAATGCAGCCATTTAAAAACATCTTATAAGTAGTGAATTTTTAAAATGCAGTTGGCTAATTATAAATACGATCTCTTTCATATTGTGATTTAGAGTTTAGCTTTTGGGTGTCTTTTTATTTCCTCTTTGTGCTGAGGAGGGAGGAGTGTCCAAGAAGGTCTCTTCTGCCTTGTCATGCCCCATGGGGTAGGCTAAGGAGGCCTTTGCCATCTTCAGGTAGACTACTCTGCTAATCTAGTTTTTCCTGCATTCGTTTCTGGGGGATTTCGCTTTCACCTTTCCATCCCATTGTATACAAGTATGATGGCACAGCTCTAATCCGGTCTCCAGAAGTACAGACAGCAATTACCCCCATGGCTGTAATACCCCCTGACAATCGTAGGTAATTAATATAAAATGCACCTATCACAGGGAGAACCAATACCTCCTCTGTCTTACACTTTCTCACCCTATGTTGCTCATGGAATGTCAATTGGTATTGCCCTCAGATCTGGGTCTCTCTGACCTTCAGCTAGCTTTTAATGCTTTTTTAATACAAACACCTGAAAAACCCTTTACCTTGTGAAGCTTGGAAAAAATGTGTTTTCCAAGCCTACATTTAGCAAAACATTTTGTAACTACTGCTGCTTTCTTGAGTTCTCATGTATGACATCCCATGATACAATTATCTTTAAGTCACTGACTTCAGTTACTTCTACTCACAAAAGAGGAAAAAGCATGTTTAAAAAGACTTAAAAAGAAATTACGCACTTTTTTTTTTTTTACAAGTCATAACCAATTTCTTTCCAGCAGGAGGAGCACCATACTATGTCAAAAATGTTGGTTTCCAATATAATAGTGTAGTTGGAAGAAAGAAGTATCTTGTAATTAAAACAATGCTAATACAAACTAATTTATTTAAAAAAAAATCTTTAAGAACAAGCTTCTGTGATGAATCTATTTTGAAATGCAAATGAAAAAAATCATGTCTTTGTACATTACTATTAAACTATATTGTAGCTGTCTGAAACTTGTGTTAGAATATTTACAAGTGTACAAGAACTCAAAATATACTAAGCATATTGTGTTATATGTGGGAAACCTGCTTTTATAATGCTCTCAGAAATCTCTCTGTGAGAAAGTGGTAGTTGAGTGGATAGCAAAACTGGGAATGGGGGAGAGAGAGCCTACAGTCTATCCATGGAGAATAGTCTTTCTAGCCTATCCCAGGAGAATTTATGAAGTTAGACTAAAAAGGTCTTTTAGATAAGTGAAAGAACTTGACTACTACCAGAAAAGATGGCAACTTGAAATTAAATTAAAGGGAAGCATACTGAGAGATTTCCATCAACTTTTTATCCTATTCAGTAACTTCCAAGTAGTCTGTGTTTTCAATTCTTAAAAAAATATGCTTGGTTTTTACAGTAAAAAGATCTCTGTTCAGCTTTAAGGTGAGGTAGACCAGCATTCTCAATGCTGTCATCGTAGGTTGCCCTATCTAGCACAAATTTAAGTCCTTCTTGGATGTAAACACAAAAGTCATTTTCAGTATTTTTTTTTAATCCCATTATCATTGATCATTTACTGCCCTGGAATTGGAGTTGCAAATAAGTGAATAAAAGAATAGGATTGGCAAGAATAGCTGAAAAATAGTCTCTACACAGAAGGGAAAAATCCTGATAAATCCATGAATTATTGTGCCTTGTCATTTACTAAGAATAACCAATAGAAATTCAGTAGTCTCGGTATTTTTGTCAGTTCTCCAAATATTTCAATTTTTGCCTAAGGGTTGTATTATTTTACAAGTAATGGGATAGTGCCTGCAAAGAATCGAATTTAGTATCCCAAGCCAATCAGAAGTTGATATTATGCAGTTGCTTCATAGCGAACATTAAAATTATTTTATTTTGTTTATAAGCCTGTTTTTTAGCATTTTCACACTCCACCAGACCCGAAAAAATACCAATTTCCCTCAAATTTGCGTGCCTTATTTTGTTCCTGGCTAGAGAGGATTTTTTTCTGTGTTGGGAAGTTTATTCAAATTCAGAAAATAAGTTAATGTTTTTTAACAATCTTTTCCTGTTTCAATTTTTTAAAATATTCCCAATTCATTTTGGCTAGTCAGATCTCCAAAATGAGTTGTACTACAAACTCCACATTTTTGTTTTGTTTTGGTCTTATAGAGGAGTATCTAGGATGTTTTTTGTTTTGTTTTGTTTTTTTGGGGGGAGGGGTTACTAAGTTATATAAAGTGTTCTTTCTACATGTAAACAGAACAAAGATTAAAATATATCTTGTATAAAAATGACATGTTCCTCCTATCAGGCCTTGCTGTAGCAATTGTTCACCTGAGCCAGAGGATGAAATGGTGCATGGTAGGTGACATGCAGAGCTGCAGGATTCTGGGAAGAGATATGTGGGAGACAATGAACCAGGAAAGATATGTTTCAAAAGTGCTAATTTCCAAACACCTCTTACTGGTCTCAATAAGAACTGTTGGGAATTTGGCAGTTTTGAAGATCAGGCTACTTTTTTTGATACCTAAATAGGTTCCTAAATCCATAACTGTAGGTTCCTTTTTTTTTTTTAATCTTTTACCTATCAGATAAACACCTCCTTCAGCCCCCAAAAAGGCAAAATGAAGATGTGGATGTGTGGTGTATAGTAGGTGGGGTAATAGGGAGACACCTGCCAACCATTGAAACCATCTGAAAAGTTTTGCTTTATTTATACTTATACACCAACAGCTCAGATGTCAGCCATACAAAACTGTACCAACACTCTTTGCCGACAAAATATGCCTGAAAAAAGTGGCTTAGAATAAGGGTTGTCACAGCTCTCACTAGAGAGTTGCTTGAGCAACACATTATGTATGTTTGTGTGTAATAGAATATATTTGCACATACAATTGTCTTTAAAAGTTCTGTGCCAATAATACTATTTACAGATATCTATAGATATTTGTTTGCCCTTCAGTACATAAGCTTTTATTATGACTACAATTTATACATACATTAGCTGAGAGTTTTTCAGTAAAACTGCTGTCTCAGTACAAAATGGGAACGTGGGATGAAAACGTTACAAATACTGTCTCTGTCATTGAAATACAGTTGTGACTGCATTTCACTAAACCACATAATTATTCAATGCGATTGGGTTTGTGCTGGTGAAAGCAATGTATAAAATAGTTTAGGGCTACATTGTGTCTTGGACTACATGCCAATGAAAGGAAGCAATGGGAAATAATTTCCCTTCCATTCCAGCGTGGGCTAACTGGATCGTGAATCTGGCAGGTAGACAAGCAGGTGCTATGTGCCTGTTGACCTGTTGAACAGGTGAGCAGGGAGGAGTGGGGAATGGACATAGACCTGGATCTGCCAGCACCATCAAGGTAGCATAGAGAGACCAGGTGGGGAAGGTAAAATCTTTTATTGGACCAACTTCTCTTTGTGAAAGAGACAAGCTTTTGAGCTTACACAGAGCTGTGTTAACTGGAAAGCTGCTCTCTCTCACCCAAGTTGTTCCAATAAAAGATATTCCCTCACCCACCTGGTTTCTCTAGTATTCTGTGACTAACACAACTTCGGCAACACTGCAAGCAAGGTAGCATAGAGGCTGTCGTAATTTGCTACTGGTATAGGCCAGCAGCAAATTACGGGGTAAGAGGGAAGCAAGGAAGGAATTGTAACTCAGAGATGTCTGTCATAGTGTCTCCAAGCAGCTACTTCTGGAGTGTTTGTAGCTTATGCATTGTCCTTTACACAGGGCTATGTATAAAGTCACAGTTTTGTCCTTAGGCATTGCATGCCGCACTGAATTTTTTTGCTTTTCTGAGTGATGATTTTGTAATTCTGAGTGCCATACGATCCACCTAGCTAGTGAGAGTCTACACCAAGAAATAGTTTTCTGGTTGAATAAATAATATGCAAATAAGACTGTCTTTTCTACCTAACCAGAATACTGCATTTATAATCCCAAATGCCTGTTTACCCAAGAATAATGTAAATTTTCGCAGCCAAAGTTCATTCAACCACAGAATTATGCAGGATTCTTGTGGATAACAAATTGATGTCTTGCAGGCAGTGTTTGTGTCTTTAAAGTGGGACACTCGCACTGGGTAAACTCAAAGAAAAAACATTTATACAGAAGTGATTTTCTCAACCTGTAATTTTCTGTATTTCTGCTGTTGGAAAATACTGTGTTTTTAATAAAAACTTTATCCCTTACGGCTCTATTTTGCTTTCTCTGTGATTTTTCATGGAAGTTGTAACACTGTGTTTGACAATAGTTTGTAAAGAGGAAATGATTATAATTTAATATATTAATTATTATGGTTATTTGGAAGAAGCCCTTGTTTGTTCATATATATTTATAATGAAAATATAATCTTTAACAATTTTCAGGGGAAACAATGGAAAACTAGTAAATGGACATGGTGTCATATGTTGCTGATAGCTCACGCTTTTCAGTAGACCTTCTGATCTTAGATTCATGTTTATGAACAATAATATATTTTGTGTGTTCATGATTTCAGAAATGTTGCCTTTCTTCACAGGAAGCAATAGTTACAATTCGGCTTCTTGATGTTCTTTGTGAAATGACATCGAACAATGAACAACTGGAACATCTGCAAACTTGTCCTGGTTTGCTTGAGACAGCTGTGGGTGAGTTAATAAATGCTATTGCTTTCCAACTACTGGTTCAAAACTGTATTCTGCACTGTATATGAAAATGATTTTTTTCACAACTGGTGGTAATTATGATTGACCTTTTAATAAAATAAATAAATAAAAAGCAGTGAATTACTAATCTACATTTTCAAATGTTTGATTCGTCTCTGGAAGTTCTGTTGCTCTACTTGCTCAGAGTGCAGTTAGCTCTGTTTGCCCAGCAGAGCCTTTATCTGTCTCTCAACAGTCCTATTTGTATGGGATGAGTTTGTGAAGGACGACGGCTTCGTTTTCTTCCACTGTCTGATCGTGTGTTTAACGAGTTCCTCCAAACATAAAAATAGGACTTTCCCATCTGTCACTTATTGTATTCTTTATTTTGACTTCCAGGTACTGAATAAAAGTTCTCATTAATCAAATTGTTACTTCAAAGTTCAGTTTAAAACAAGCCTCCCCATAAAAGTAAAGATTTTTACACAATAAAAAGAAGTCAGGCCAGTGAGGAGAGACCCTCGCCTCAGGCAAAAGGGAGAAAGTGGTGTGCAAGTGATGACTTCTACCCCCAAAACTCTTCACTTTAGCTGAGTCTGATGTTGCTGCACGCAGCCTTCAACACAGCTCATAAAGGTCTGATGTCAGTTTAAGGAAATCATTCATTCAGCGTATTAATTTGAACTTGTAGACTGATACTACTCAGCTTATATACACTGATATTCTAAATGTCCTTTGGGAAGAGGATTGCTAGTGTGCTCTGCTCCTACACTTACCTATAGCTAACCTTTCTGATTAAATTCAAATACATCATTTACTACTTCCATTAAGTAAGGGCACTTAAATGCACTTACATCTATGTATGTCTTGAAGAATCACAAAATATCCACTTGTACTTCCTTAACAAATGCTTAACTATTTCAGCACAGAAGGAGAATTACAAGGAGTTGGAGATCAATATAGCACTTTCACCAGTTAATATGCCAATACTTGTTTCGCTAGCAGCTTTGTCTGATTTTTCTGCACAGTTATCTCCAGACTAATTAAACACAGCTGCAGACTAGAACATTGCAACCATGTGTGATCCGTTATAGTTCTCAGGCACTGCTAGCCAATAGGACTACCACAATGGATTCTGTTCTCCAATTTGTTTCTTAGCCTAAGAATAACAATGTTAACTTGACAGTTAAGTGTTTTTTGTTAGCAGCAGTTTGAGGCAAAACCTCAATGTTCCAGAGAAGTCTCTGCTTTGAAAGAATTGAAAACCGAGCACTACAAAGGGATAGCATCAATAAGAGTGTCCGAATCATCAGCCACTAATGGCTCTGATACCTGTGTGGAAAATTGGACTCATCCTTATGACTCTGTGTCTGAACTACAAAATCAAATAAGTGTGAGAAGCTTCAGGGCTGTCTTAACCTAACCCTAGCACAAAAATAAACAAACAAACAAAATTGGCAAACTGATGTTCTTCCAACATTCTTGAAAAATCTAGAATTATATAGAAATGTTAAGTATCAGAGGGGTAGCCGTGTTGGTCTGGATCTGTAAAAAGCAACAAAGTTCTGTGGCACCTTTGAGACTAACAGATGTATTGGAGCATAAGCTTTCGTGAGGTTGAGGTTCTTCATGAGGTTGCTCCAATACATCTGTTAGTCTTAAAGGTGCCATGAGGTTTCTTCTATCAACCTCATGAAGAAACTTGAAGCAGTATACAAAAACCTGTAGGAGAACACTTATCTCCAGACTGATTCTTGCCAGCTTATTTATACCTGCCCCCGGAAATTTCCATTACATGCATCCGACGAAGTGGGCATTCACCCACGAAAGCTTACGTTCCAATACATCTGTTAGTCTTAAAGGTGCCACAGAACTCTCCGTTGCTTTTTATAGAAATGTTAGTGTTTTGAAAATTGCTATCAAAAGCAGTGATGTTCCCAGTATGGTAATGTATTAAAATGTCTGTTTGCTTCCTTATGTAGATACTTTGCGGCTAACTCACCTGGCTGGGAAACAGACTGCAAATATCTTCACTGCCACACATTCTATGACAGGAGAGGGAGAAATTTCACATCCAGCTGTGGGTTTTAAATCACACCTCATTCGATTGATTGGAAATTTGTGTTACAAGAATAAGGAAAACCAAGACAAGGTAGGATTGTTTCCATGTAGTCTCTTGCATGATCAGCTGCACTCACTTGTGTGATTTATGACTAAATAATATAGTTAATCTACAGTAGAGGTTAAAATTAGTATTAGGAGGGCAGAAGCAGAAATGTTGCTGGACTGCTTCAGAATTATGAAAGAAACCCACATCACATAATTACCATAACTGGCTTTATTTTGTGTGTGTGTTTAACATGTTTTACTTCAATTTTATCCTCGTGCTTTCTGTCCATCTCTCTCTCTCAAAGCCAATGTTTAGTTCTTCCTGCCCCTTTCACATCTGACTACAGTTCTTAAAAAACTTCTGGAAGTTAAAACCCAACTGATGTTTAAAAAACAAACAAAAATCCAGTTTAGTTGGCCTCTCTATTCTCTCTCTCTCTCCCTCCCCCCCCCCCCCAAAAAAAAAACTTTCTTCCATTTTTGAGATGCAGGTAAGTCTACAAACCTCCTCATATTGAATCCTCTGACTCTGTTGAGGAGCCAATCCCATATAGGGAAAATTAGCTTTTCTTTATGGAGTGAGAACAATGAAAAGAAAGTGAGGGGACAGCTGCCTACTTTTAGTCATTAAATCCTTTCCTGAGTGTTGCATAAGATGTGATTTTCATCCAGATGTGAACCTGCTTTTCTTGCTGCAGGCAAGTAGGCCTTCTATGAAAAATATTGTAATGTTTAAATGCATTATGTTGTAAACCTTTCCAGAATTGGACAGATTGCACCATAAGGTAAATTAATCAAAGGGCTCCTAACACATAATAATCCTCCACAACACACGTTTCAAGATATCTGGGTCCTACACATGCCTATCGCAACACAGGAGATGTGGAGATGTGTTGAAAAGTGTGTTATGGGGAATACTGATCATCCTAACAGTGGAGATATGTCTGCAAGTTTTGCATGTATTATGGAAGGGGCTGGTGCTGCTTTAAGTTGGTGTGTTTTCGTTTATGGAGAGCTTGCTTCTGATGACACATCTTCTGATGACGAGCTTGGTGTCATGGTAGCCTTCCCTCTGGCTCATGAGGGCTAGAGGTGACTGTTTCTTAGGGTCAGTCAGACAGTTTGTTTGAGCAAATTCAGGATTATTTCCTTTATTTCAATATTGTCTTAGATAAAGTTAAAGGGTTTAACAATTTCCAGAAAAGTAATAAATGGGATAGAAAATAAAAAGCATGGGATAATGGCTAGCTCAAAGGACTAGTAAAGAAATATAGAGCATTTTATGTCCCTCTCAAATCAGGCCTATGTCAGCAGAGCCCATAACTATTATCTGACCACTTATGAGCGTTCCATGTGAGATGAGCTAATCTAATTCCACATTGCCAAGTAGAGTCTGTCTACTGTTACTTGGGCTGTTTGTATCTGGTCCTCCACTTCTTATTTTGTGGTCACAGCCTCAGGTTCTGCCACCTGTGGAGAAGGATTTCTTTTCCAGTATAGTTTTTTCATTGGAACAGTGTGTGGTAATGCTGTTTGGATGGAGGTAATATCAAGGCAACAGTACCCGGAACAACTAAATATCAAAGGCAGTTTCCTTGGGAATGCTTGTACTTCCATTGCCAGTTTGAGGAGACATACACGCACTAGCTCTCATTGGTAAATGGTAGTTTGTCTTAGCCATGTGTATGGCCAGTGCAGTTGCACTGCCCCAGGAACAAGGCTGAGTGGATTGTGACTCAAGTCAGAATCTACCTCCCCATTTCCTCTTGCTCTATGGGAGACAGACCCTTCACCAGCACCTATATCTGGCACGGACTACATCTCCCAGTGTGCTGTTGCAGCTCTGCTGCCTGGTGCATTGGGGGCAGAGCTGAAGCAATGCCCATCTACACAGACTGAGAGGGAGGTGGGTAATGACTCTGCAGAAACTGCTTCCTTCACCCATCCGCTCACCTGCTATGCAAGTAGCTAGGTCAAGGGATTAAAGAGGTGATTTATATTGGCAATGGTGGAAAATTTTGGGACAATACTTCTGAGTGGAAAAATTAATTATTGCTGTTACTTTGATGTATCTGCATCTTGTATTAAACCTGTAGTTTAGTTTTCAGAAAAATTATTTTTATCCCTCCATTGTGGAAAGAAGTATGGTGTTAGCCCTGTGGTATCATTCTGATGGAAACCTTCTGGGGCTTGTTCTTAGGAATGTATTGTTTACATCTCTTCGTCTTCATAGTTTTTTTTTTTGCTATTTTGATAAGTTCTTAAGACATAGAAAAAGCAGAGATTTAAGTTGTAAAATGAGATGCGATTATTAAAGCAGGTTGTTGGCAGGCTAGCCACCCTAATTATATTTTTTCTGAAGCTGCATAGGTGAAGTGTTGTAAGAAAAAAGTCTCGGACCAAATTTGCAGTTCAGGTCACTAAAAATATGGCTGTGCAGGATATCACTGAATGTGAGTGTTGACTTATATAACATGTCTGATATAAAACCAAATGTTTTTACTCAGTGCTGGTAGAGCTTGAGCAGCAACAGACATATGCAAAGTTCAAACCTGTGCAAGGAGTGAAAACTCCTTTTTACCTAAATAGTCTGGTGGGGCTCACCGCCCTCTTAGCCCCTGCTGCAGGGAGGGGAAGCAGTCAGAAACTGCCGCATCTAGGACACCAGGGGGCAGGCTGAGCCCTGTGGGCCACTTGTCTCCACCCCTGGGACAGGCATGGAACTTTCTCCGGAGGGGAACCTGCCAAGAACCACCTTCAAACACCTTGGGTGTTTTTGTGGAAGGGGGGGAAGGGAGGAGTTGTGTTTTTTGCTTTGTCTCTCACAGAATGAGACTGAGTGTCCCTTACTTGGGAGGTTGTGAGGAAAGAAGGGGAGTGCTTGGGTAGAGCAAGGACTGTAAGCGATGTTTGACAGGCAGGTTGGACATGCGGGCGGCGAGTCTGTTCTGCAAAGAGAAAACTGAGTATAAACGATTTATTCTGTATCTGTTGGTTTTGTCTTTTTTTAAGATTATACAGTCTTTGGGGCAGCAGCTATCCTCTGTGATTATACAGTGCCTAACACAATGGAGCCCCCAGCCCTTCACCCCAACCGCCTGTTCAGTAGAAAGTTGGCTTTTTGTTTCACTCCAGCTGTCTGCATAGTAGCACAGAAGAGAACTGCCAAGTTCAGCTGTTGCATATAGCTAGAAAATTCTCTGTGTCCTGAGTTGGAACTTTCTTGACAAAAGAATATGATGCTAAGGAAAGTTACTCTCTAGAAACTAAAGTCTTCTGTTCAGCAAAGGAACAAGTACATCATGGATAGCAACTATTTATCTTCATCAACATTACCCTGTCCGTTTTCAGGGACATCATCTAAAGAGTGTCACGGTAGTTCATTTTCCATCTCCCATTAATTCTTTCTTCTCTATTAAGAGTGCAGTTTTTTGTGGTGTGAACACCATTGTTTTCTCTTTTTCTTTGCTAAAATATATTCATTTTGAAAGGGGGAATCCGTATCTCAAATGGAGTTTTTGTTTGGGCATTCCAAAAAGCCGTTGACAATTAGTATAAGCAGTATATCAATATTGAAACAATATTTTTCTCATTTTTCAGTAAAAATTTTCTGACCCGCTCTAATCAATATGCAGCTTTTAACTAATAAAACAAAACATTAATTACAAATGTGAATTTAAGAAGATGCCTTAGAAGTAGATGATGTTAACATAACTTCCTTCCCTCTGCAGAGTACATGGCCAGTAGTCATTATTGCTGGGGTTCTTATGCTTTTTGTAGACACATGGAAATGACCATAAGAATTGTATAAAAGGAGAGTGGTCAGTAAACTTCAGACCCTGACTGTATTCTTAGGTACTTGGCTCTACTGCGATGCAGGCAGGCAATGAGATTTCTTGGGCAGGAAAATGGTTTGACTCAAAACAATTTTATTCTTTAGGCAAGGGAAAAAAAGTCTTGATTACCAAAAGCATTAGACATCAATGCCAGGCACATGCCTACCTGAATGGGATTGCTCTAATTTTGCAAATAACTCTCTCCATAGAAAGCAATCAATACTTTTTTTTTTTCTTTTCAGAGGAAAGATTACTTAAGGAATGTAGGTTCTGAGTTTTGAGATGCATATCATTTTACAGTTATAGCTGACAATAGTGCTTCCCTAAATTTAACTTCTCCATTGATTCAGAGTAGAGGAAGAGTCTTCTTGTGTGGATAGAAAATATACTTCAGGTGCATCTTTTGTAAGGTGTAAACTTACAAACAAAATTTAAAAAAATAAAATGTCTGTTTTGTCTAATAAATTAGTTAAATTTTTTTATAACGTTGTTGGCTTTTGAGAAGTCTGGCTGATATGAAGGCTGCTCAACCTGAAAATATGAGCAAGATCTGACTTGTTTAGAATTCCTCTTTTTTGTAATGTAATCCCATTTTTTAAAATGTCAAAATTCATAAATCAAGCTGTCATCATTAGACTCCTTTACTTACTGTTCCTGTAACAGTCAAATAAATTAAATTCCTAAGTAGAAGATACATACCTCCTTGCTTAGTTTTTTAATTATAGGTTATAATTTTTTACTCTCAAGTATTCTGAGGTATCAGAAATAACTCTTAGTTGGGTTAACTGCATCTGTCTCTCAACAGTTTATATTATGTAAAAGAGGCAGTGTTTGCATTCTGTATTGTGTGTTGTTCAGTTCATTTAACTGACTACACACTTGGGCTAGGCCATCCAATTGTCTGTAAAGGAAGGTACAGAAGGTGTTAAAATGACATAGATTTAATTATATATGACATTATTAGAGAGAGAGAGAGAGAAATCAACATTATTTTATTGATGTTTCTGAAGGAAAAAATGATACTGCGATGGATATTGAAATCCCTGTTAAAATTACCCACATACCACTACACCATCACAGAATTGTTAGTGCTACTACTCTTTCACGTCATGGTATTTCATTCTTATGGCCTGACTGTCGGAAGTGCAAAATTCTTACTGAAGTTGGACAAACCATTTACTTTGAGTAGATCTATTATTAAAGTAGC